TTGTTAACTATAGTTACTAGGTCTCCAGAACGTACTCATCTTATAACTGAGTTTTTACCCTTTGATTAATAACTATTTTTCCCACTCCTTCACCCCTGGCAACCACCTTTCTACTTTCTGTTTCTATGAGCTTTATATTACATAATTTTAATTCCAAGTTTCAGAAAAAAAAAAAATTATTGAATGGAAAAAGTTCTTTATTGGGCAGGGCCCATGCTGTATAGGTCTTTGTAGCTGTCCTCTTCTATTCAATCAGCTTGCAGCAAATGCTACATGCGGAAAAATTCTTGGTTTTTATGAGTCTGTGTTTTTGGAATGTTTTTGGTTTAACTACTCCTCTGGGAGGCTTATTCATTTGAATTCGAGGGACAGAACCAAGGGCCCAGGGTTCAATTCAAAAGCCTTCTTGGAGTATGGAGTATGTACTTGCAAATGTGTAACACTACTGGGTGGGGAGAGTGGCCAACTTGAGTTTATATACCCTATCCAAAAGCATTCTAATTCATTTTACCTCCAACTTTGTGCTTTCCATTTTTTTTCCATTTTAGGCCTCCAACTTTGTGTTTGGAATGGTTCTTGGTGATCTTGGTTGAGTGTCTACTAAGTTCTGGGTGCTGTAAATCCTTTTGATAATGCAACAGAGTAGGTAATGTGACTCAGTTTCACAGATGAAGAGATAGACTTACAGAACCAAAATAACTTGCCAAAAATCACCCAGTTATTAAACAACCCACGTTAGATTTTGATATGGTTTGGCTGTGTACCGACACAAAACCTCATCTCGAATTGTAATTCCCAAGTGTTGAAGGAGGGACTTTGTTGGGGGTGACTAGATCATGGGGGCGGCTCCCCCATGCTGTTCTTGTGATAGTTGAGTTCTCAGGAGATCCTATGGCTTTATAAGGGTCTTTTCTCCCCTTCAGTTTGCACTTTTCTCTCCCGCTGCCATGTGAAGGTTAGGTTTGCTTCCCCTTCTACCATAATTTAAGTTTCCTGAGGCCTTCCTAGCTGTGCAGAACTATGAGTCAATTAAACCTCTTTTCTTTATAATTAGCCTGTCTCAGGTATTTCTGCACAGCAGCATGAGGACAGACTAATACAGATTTTGACACAAGTAAGTCTTCTATTTCTACTTTTACCACGCTATTGAGGGCAGTGAGCTTATTGGAGGTGTATGAGGAAACAAATGCTTATGTACTAAATTGCAAATTTTAGCTTGTGAAGTGACAGCAAATGTTTCATTCTATTTTACTTTTTGTACTCTGCAATGATGGTATGTGTACAACTTTTTAATTCATTCCTAAAAAAAAACTATACAAATGTTAGTTGTGAATTCATAATGTTCCCATGAAAAATTGAAGAGAAAGCTTTCATTCTGTATGTTAAACTGAGAAACAAAACTGGTGGATGAAGAATACACTGTAGTCTTTTGAAGGCAGCAATGTGAAAAGGTGGAACACAATAGCTTGTTCTTGGTAATTAAGTGCTCTGACTGCTTCTATGCTGGAAATAACTGTAATGTGTTATTCTTGCATTTCATTATTTGGAGTTTTGAAATGAAGTTTGAAGAAAAGATCATTAATAAAAAAATAGAGATGATTATAACCGTGATTTACATTACAAAACCCTTTTTTTAGTCTCAAAAATATTTACTCTGTAGGGTTTTTAATGCTCTGAGCTCTCATAATACAACTAAGTGCTTGCTTTTTGACTCATAGTTACTTAACCTAGGGGTTAAGGTACAGGAAGACAAGCAATGACAGCAATGTAAAAGGAGGTTAAGATGCATTTCTGAAAGGGTTTGAAGCCCTGATGATTAAAGGGCATAATGAAATAAAGCATCTCAGAAATAGTAACAATAGTAGCTAATAAATATTGAGTTTGCCACTTCACAGGCACTATACTAAGTATTTTTATACTAATTTAGAGTCCTCAATAATCCCACAAACAGGTTAGTGTTATTATTACAATTTTACAGATGAGGAAACTGTGGCAGAGAGAAAAACTCCTTGTACTCAACAATTTTTAACCCTGGAGCCTCACTTATAATTCCCTTTAACCAAAAGAAAGAAATAGGTCACAAATGTCAGAGGTGAAGGTTACTTAGAGATCAGCTTGTCCATCATTTCAACTGGGATCCGTATCAGATGTGAAATGAATGGTCCCCAAATAAATTTGAAAATCAGTACACGGTCTGCTCACTCACTTTCTTGTTTAGCCACAATTTCTGAGTTGTTTGAATTATTTTACAAGTTCCTATCACCTTTAAACTCAGAATAGAAGTTGTTTAGCCTTTAAAAAATTATGGAATGTGCTAAAAGCATTTGAAAAGAGTTCTTTCTTATTAATAATCTCCCTTCTAAGTTTACGTTTGTCTTTAGCCTACTTGTTTTTGTTCCATCAAGCTCCAACTACCTTAAGCAAAGTGATTAATAAAATAATTCAGAATAATTAAGGGGCTGGCATACGACAGCCAGGAGACCAAATCCCAGCATTAAAAAAAAAATTTTTTAAGGGTTATAAAAAGGAAAAAAAAAATGTGACAGGGTTCTTACATGGTCTTGAAAAGCCCATTTACTATCTGGCCCTTCACAGAAAAAGTTTGCCAACCTCTAAAATAATCAAACATTCTGAAATAATAACTTAAGGAGGTTTTACTTTGATAACGTAAATGTGAAAATGTTTTCTCCATTTCACTAGTGATTAATTTACAGAACAATTAAATGACAAGTTAAAATCAGAATATTTACTAGTGATGTAACTAAGAATATTTAGCTTTGGTGTGAACTTTATTTTGCAAATATTAGGCATGCAAGACATAGAATTTATTTCTGTAGTGACTTGTTTCTCATACCACTGAGGGAGCAGAAACTTAGTGTCAGTTGATTTGGGGTTTCCCTCTTTCCCAGGGCTGAGTCTACTTTTGAGGGAGACATCTGGTTCCCGTGTTTCACATGTTTGTACTGCTGACACAGGCCCTACTCTTGTTCCTGGGCTTCCCATCTGTCTTACCTCTTATGCAGCAGCCCTGCTTCCCAGTCACACAGCCCACTAGTTACATAGCCTCTAGCCAAACAGCCCTTTCAGGAGGCTTCCCCACTCACCAAAGCCAGATTCTTTCTGCTTAGACCATTTATTGCCTGTAATTTGGTTAGCATTTGCTTATCTCAAGAATTTTGAGCCTTTCCTGAGCTCAAGAGAGTTATCACTTGTAGCCTCACTGCATTTATAGCATTTGTGAAATTATAATTTTCTATTTATGAGTTTATTTGCCCCCTGGCTTCTAAACACCTTTGAAAATAGGCACCACCACCAGGCGTGGTGGCTCAAGCCTGTAATCCCAGCACTTTGGGAGGCCGAGGCAGGTAGATCACAAGGTCAAGAGATTGAGAACATCCTGGTCAACATGGTGAAACCCCGTCTCTACTAAAAATACAAAAAATTAGCTGGGCATGGTGGCACGTGCCTGTAATCGCAGCTACTCAGGAGGCTGAGGCAGGAGAATTGCCTAAACCCAGGAGGCAGAGATTGCGGTGAGCCGAGATCGTGCCACTGCACTCCAGCCTGGGTAACAAGAGCAAAACTCCATCTAAAAAAAAGAAAATAGGCACCATTTTGTGTTTTCATTTGTTTCTCCATTTTATAGCAGTTTCTGATACATACTAGGCACTCAAGTTTTGGTTCAAGTGAATGAGTCAGTAAATTCATTACAGAAGTCTTTTAAGGCTTGATTATAGTTTTGTCAGCATTTGAGTTATTCTATGCCTCAGGAATAAACTTACATTTTCTTTAAATTACTCTTTTACTGGGAAGACTGGTCTTCCCTTACATCAATGGAGATTTCTGTGTGTGTATAAATATTTACTTATATACATACACTTCAGGTTTTCAAAAAGCTTCAGGTAAATAAGAGTAGAAAGTAGAACTTGAACTGGTAAGGACAGTAGATATCAAGTTTGGTAGTGCTTCTCATCAAATATTAGAATAAGGTTCAGAACAAGGTCCAGAATCTAGTATCTCACAGATGCTCCTGGGGAGCCACTTGATAAACTCTATACAAGTAAAAAAAATAATTTCTTTTAGATACAAATTTTGTTTTGGTCAACAGAAACATCACCTCTTGATGTGGAAATATGGTACTCTGAGTATTGTCCAATTTCCTCAAATGTTGACTTTGTCGTCTGCTTATCTGCTATCAAAAATGTCTTCTAGGGAAACAGAAGACACTGCTTTACATACACACTTGTCAGGGAACTTCACTTAAGCACTATCCAGCAGCTTCAGTGCAGATCTGAAGCAGATAGGAGCCTATGGGAGAACCACACAGAAAACTGTATTACTGACCATAAAAGCTTAGTTCTCCAGAGAAATGCTCTCCTATCCCTAGGTTATAAGTTGATCTTTGTTTATTGGCTTTGTTGTACAAAGAAAATGTTCAAATTCCCTGTGAAATCACAGGTGAAGATTATGAGTGGTATTAGAAGTGTTCTAGTGCTTTTGCCAATGAGAAGAATAAGGTAGTCTCCAATAAAACTTACCATATCAAAATATGCATGGAAAGGGAGAAAGGGCAGAAGAGTGACTTTCCTAAAACCGAGGTATAGCTTAATCTATATGTACAAACCTAATAAAGTACATCAGTTGAGATTTAAACATAGCCAATATATGTGTTTAGGACTGTCCAAGGTAGCACAATTCAATCCAGGCAACTTGGGCCATCTGGTCCCTTAGAGTGGTTTCTGCTGAAGAAGGGTGTATATTTAATCAAGCATCATTACAAAATGCCTGAAATGCCCCTTGCCACCTACCTCACATCACTTCAATCCTACAGTCATCAAGTAACCTTCTGATTATGCTACAAGAAGAGGATGGGTTATGGATTGGAGATATGAAAATTCTGGTAATTGGAATATCTTTGATCATAACTGTAACTTGATAAGGTTTCTTTTATGTATATTTATTCATAATATCAGACACATACAATCTTAGTAGATACTGACCATGTCCAGTTATTGCCAAAGGCCATTCAGCTACACATTCCTAGATCAAGTTCTAAAATGATGGGTCCTGTCTTCTTTAATTGTAGAAACTCAGTAGCCACTAGCCAGTGCCTGAAATAACAAGTTTAGATGTTTGCTGAGTGAATAAATTACATACACACAAAACTAATCCATTTTGAGACTTCTTAATAGCGAACCAGATTTCCCCTGGAGATCTCAAATTCTGTCTCCTTGCGTATGGTCTCTCTATTTAAACTTTAGTAAAGACATTTGTTTGTTAACATTCTTTATATAAGAATTCACAATGTAACTTCCTTCTATATTTTAGTACCAGAAAAAATTATCAGGAGAAAAACTGAGTGCTTTCTTCTATCAGATATAAAATCTTCATTATCCATCAACTTTTCTCTCAGCTGCCAGAAAATTCTAAGACATATTTACATATAATCAAAATGACTATTATCTTCTGATAAAATTTTTCCTTTAAATATTTCTATCTTTAATATATTTAAATATTGTCTACTGACTTCCTATACTAAGAGAATTTCGCTTAAGACATGTTCTTCCTTCCCTTTTATTCCATCTCCTAACATTGTTATACAGATTGAGCAACTCTAATCTGAAAATCTGAAATCTGAAATGCTCCAAAATCTGAAATTTCTTTAGCATCAACATGATGCTTGAAGGAAACATCCATTCAAGCATTACGAATTTCATATTTTTATTAGGAATGCTCAACTGGTATATATTCTGCACATGTTCTAAAATAAAAATCTCAAAATCCAAAACACTTCTGTTTCCAAGCATTTTGGATAAGGGATACTCAACCTGTAATACCATTTTAGATGCTGTATTGATTACCTCCATAACTTTAATCATCTACAGGGGAGGAAAATAATCTTTTATCTGTCCATTTTAGGAGCCCCAGCTGGGGCTCCGTAACAAAAGACAGATAAACAGGAGAAAAGCATACAAATTTATTTAACACAATTTTTCTATGAAACAGAAGATTTCAAAAGGAAATAAAACCTCAAAGGGGCAGTACGAGTTGGATGCTTATATATAAATTGGACAAAGAGTGGTAAATTATGAAAATGTGACAAGACAGAGAGGCTGGGGCTAGGGCAGAAAATGGTGGAACAGTAAGAAGATAAGAGATATATTTTGGATGTTTGTCTCCTCCAAATCTCATGTTAAAATGTGGTCCCCAGTGTTGGAGGAGAGGCCTGGTGGTAGGTGTTTGGGTCATGGGAACAGATCCCTCATGAATGGTTTGGCGCTGTCCTAGTGGTAGTGAGTGAGTTCTGTATCAATTCATGCTAAACGTGGTTCTTTTAAAGAGCCTGGAAACTCCTCCACTCTCCTTTGCTCACTCTCACTATGGCATACATGGACTTCCCCTCCTACTTCTGCCATAATTTTAAGTTTCCTGAGGCCTCACCAGAAGCTGGTACCAGGTTGCTTGTACAGCCTCAAGAACAGTAAGCCAAATAAACCTTTTTCTTTATAAATTATCCAGCCTCAGGTATTACTTTATAGCAAAGCAAATGGACTAATACAATAAGTTAGTTTAACGAGGTTTGTTTGTACAGGTTTTTTTTAGTCCTGGTGACAAAAATGTTACTTTCCCTCTGGTATAGAGAGGACATCTTCCATATGGGAGTTTTATATCCTGGTTTTAGGAAGAAAAAGGAGTAGTCAAAGCATCCTTTTTGCATCTGCTGTTTTAAGCTCAAAATAATTCTTTTGCCAAAATGGCATATTTGGGGTGGCATATTCCACTACCCTTCAACATATATACTCCCTCTACCAGAGACATATTTCTTTGTTTTTGTTTTTGTTTTTCTGAGATGGAGTTTCGCTCTTGTTACCCAGGCTGGAGTGCAATGGCGCGATCTCGGCTCACTGCAACCTCCGCCTCCTGGGTTCAAGCAATTCTCCTGCCTCAGCCTTCTGAGTAGCTGGGATTACAGGCACGTGCCACCATGCCCAGCTAATTTTTTGTATTTTTAGTAGAGACGGGGTTTCACCATGTTCACCAGGATGGTCTTGATCTCTCGACCTCATGATCCACCTGCCTCGGCCTCCCAAAGTGCTGGGATTACAGGCTTGAGCCACCGTGCCCGGCCAGAGATGTATTTCTTAATATCTCTCTTCTCTCCATCATCCCCCTTATAAAATGAGGATATACACATGACTTTTCCTGTTAGGTGTCTTTCTACCCCTCTTCTTCAATCTTCCAGCTTTTAACAACTTTCTTTTTATGTGGTCATAAAAAGATACTTAAATTCTGTGCTATATTCAATGTGTACTGTGGTTTGCTTATGAAATGATTCTAAAACAGTGTATTACTGACCTATGTACATATCTTTCACTAAAGAGCTCAGTAGTGTATTTTTAAAACATCATTTTCTGTATTGCTTTTTGCTTTCCTGAAGCTCCTGTGTTTCCTTTTCTTCTGCAATATGCATTTTTCATTTCCTTTGCTATGGTAGCACTGAGCTAGAAGTCAGTTCCAGGGTCCCCATTCTGCCAGTACCTTGTTACATGGATGAATAATCACTTGTTTGAAGTTCACATGGAACATGACAGCCTTGGCCTTTTAGAAAGTTGTCACTCTAGATAATCTCTGATTTAGGCATTTTTCAGAAGGACTTCAAAGGAAATACGTTCTTCATTAGTGGAATTCGTAACACAAATCAGCTTCATGAAAATACAAAGTTAATAAAGGCATTCCATATGACTAGGAGGAAAAAAATACCTTAGTGTTAGAATAAAAGTAAACTTCTAAATACATAGGAAGTTTATAGAATCTAGGATGAAAACATATACTTAAAAAATACAACCAGCAAAATCAAAAGCTAAGAAGTTGGTCTGACAGAAACCAACCAAACATTCCCAAAAGTAATGAAAAGTATATGTAGTATTCAAGACAAATACAATACTTCTAACCTTTTAGGTTTCAAAAAATTGGTCTCAAAAACAGGCTAAATATGTATTCCTCTTTAATCAAAATAGTTTATTCATGCTTAAATCATGTAGACGAGCTTAAGGCTTCTAACAAATTCACCTGTCAACTGAATGCTTTCCATGTGTAAGAAGCTATTCTAGGCACCAAGAACAAAGTTGAAAAATCAGATATTGTGTTTAAGTACTTGGAGTCTAACGGACATGTCTCTGATTTATTTCAGACATGAAAGCAATAAATCACAATATACTGTACAGGGTGCCATGTGAATAGGGAAGAGTTTATCAGTCTGCTTTGGCTGCCATAACAAAATGCCACAAACTGAGTGGCTTAAACAACAGAAATTTATTTTCTCACAGATATGGAAGCTGGAAGCTCAAGATTAAAAGGTTGGTAAGACTGGATTCTCCTGAGGCCTCTCATGTTGGCCTTCTCATTGAAACCTCACATGGCCTCTTCTTTGTATATATACATTCTAGATGTCTCTTCCCTTTCTTATAAGAACACCAGTCATATTGGATTTGGACTCCACCCAACAGCCTCATTTTACTTTAATTACTTTTAAAAGGTCCTATCTCTATATACAGTCATTCATTCTGTGAAGCACAAGGGGGCAAGACTTCAACATATAAATTGTAAGCAGGCGCAATTCAGCCTATAACATAGAAGGTGGTAGTAAAAATGGAGAAGAAGGGACAAATGGAAAGATAGGAAGTAGAAATTAACATGACTTGATTGTTTGATGAGTTACTTATAAACAAGAGATATGGAGATCTGCCTGACTTTTTGTTTAGGCAATCAAGTCTCTGCTGGTGCATTTGTCAAAAAATAAATGCAGAAGAAGTCTTAGTTTGGCCCCCCAAAAAGTAAGTACTTCAATTTTCAAAATGTTGTGGTTGAAGCAGTAATTTCTAGCTAAAAGATAAGTTAAAGTTCAGAGCTTAGGAAAAAGTAGTATAGACAGAAGCAAGGGTATGTGAGACTGTCCACAAAGAAAATTTAAAATAAGAACAGAAGGGAATGAAATTCTGATGAATAATCCTAAAGGGTAGTTGAAGAAGCAGAAGCCAAATATAAAAGCTGTGAAAGTTTATCAAGAGAGACAAAGAATCAGAACAGAAAAAAATGGCATAAAAATTAAGGAAGGGAAGAATTAACTTGGATATAGTTGTTAATTCCTAAACCTTTTAAAGAAACTTAGCGATATTTTACCTCAAGGATCATAATATATACTTTTTTATGAGTTCTAATGTGCTTATGTTAGTAAACTAGAATACAATATTTGATTATTTCTCGCTATCCAGAATGTGTTCAAAATACCCTACTGATGTCATACAGTTTTCATTATAGCTTTTGCAAATTTCAAATCTTTAGAATGAAAAAGTATCTCTAAAGCCAAAATATGATGCCATATATCTTAAAGTAATATGTAAACTAATTTTTTTCAGTATTAATTATTCTTGACAATACCCCTATTTATATTGCAATACAAATGCTGAGGTCAGATATAAAACAAAAGCTACCTATAACAATATATATGCCTTAAATACTATAGAGGTTGTAAGATATCTAATGGATTAATATTTGAACAATATAACATCTTGGAATGTCCTGCTCTTAGAGCACTAAGTAATTTGAAATCTTTTCATGAAATCTACTTGAGTGGCACTAAAGATTTTATGCAGAAAACTGAAAACAAGTTGCATATGGGAGTAACATTCATCAGCTGTACTGTAAATATTATTTGGAAGCAATCAGATAGAGACATTTTAAAATTCCACATCACTCTGGAGAACCTAAGGCAAAGATACAAATGATTTATTATGTTTTTAAAAAGTGACAAAAGGGAGTATTAATTCTAGAAGATTTTTAATCAATTTAACACTATTATACATTAGAGGAAAAAATTTTGCACAAACATTCCCTCACAAAGCCAGTAGTTTTATATTTACATGGCATTATTATGGTAATTTAAAATGTTAATCTATGATACAATGTTACTTCAGAAAACATATAATAAAATATAGTTGTTTTATAGCCATGCTCCCATTTTTGATGAAAGCTAGTTAGCACATTCTAATGTTAGTTTAAAACTTGAAAAATGCATAACAGATATTCAGTCAGCGTTACACAACCTTTAAGACAGAAGTCTGTCAAACAGAATAGACAGAGGGCTCATCATCACTTATGTCTGAATCTTCATCTACTCCTTCAATAACTGATTTCTTCCCTTTACAACAGGATACAACTAATCCAATCAAGAATACCTGTAAATTCAAATAAGCCATGTGTTATTTTTCAAATTTAAAATCATTTGCAAAGTAATGCTTTAAAATTCAATGACAGTACTATGATACAAATATACTACTAATATACGAAGAGTTTACTTGTTTAACTATAGTTTATAAAGGAAGGTCAAATCATGCCTCAGATATCTGTACTCACCCCAAGAAATGCCCAGTTACCAAAATAGTAAGCAGCACTGAAGAACCAGAACTTGTGAAGGAATAGGTATGTCCGGGTAACAGTACACTGATCTGTAAAAGCAAATAAAAGACTATGGTGAGATAGGTTCTTTCATAAAATTGATGATTAATACTTTCTCTAAAAGCTAATGACCAAGATCATATGGCTATTAAGTGTCAGAGATGGGACTGAAACTTAGGTCTCTCTTCAAAGGCCACTTTTTCAGTCACCTTAGTGTAGTGTTGAAAACTGCAAACTAATATGACATTTTTAAAAAAATGAATGCTGCCAATGCAATCCAGATCTTAGGTATAAAAAACTATTTTGGCTAGTTTGCTTTATTAGAAATAGAAAATCACTTTTACTTGGAGTATCAGACATATCCTAAAACAAAATAAAGTTTTCCTGATGAACATCAAGACAAAAGAACAAAGTAATCAGATGTGGTTAGTATGAAGGTGCACTTGTAGGTGCAGAAAGGTCTAATAACTTTCCTCACCCACTGAAAGTTTCATGGCCAACACTCCTATAACAGAAGACAGGTTAACAAGAGAAAAGCATAACACATTTATTTAATCAGTTTTACATGACACAGGAGGCTTCAGAAATGAAGACTCAAGGACTAAAGGGAAAACTGTATTTTCATGCATAGTCAATGAAAAATGGAGAGCTAAGAGCTAAGAATAGAGAATAATTAGACAAAAGTGTATAACCTAATAGTAACAGACTGAGAGGGGAAAGCCAGCAAGGTCTGTATGTTCAGATTCTTCTTGGTCTTTCTATATAGCATTCCCTTCTTCATGGTATAGGGCAGAACCCTTCTGGAATGAGAGTCTTATGACCTACTATCAGACAAGGTAGGTCACAGAATTTCTTTTTGGCCAGCTCCTACATAAAAAGGTGGGGGAAGTTTAATATTTCTAGGTTTATAGCTGGCTTCAGGGAAGTAGGGTTCTAATTTCTATGACATGGCTGGGGTAAGAGAAATTCTAGTTTCTATGGTCTGCCTTGGGAGAGAAAGGAGAACAAAAGAAAGAAGGGCAAGAGAAGGCTGAAAGGATACTTTGCTTCTGGGGCTCTTTCAATACCCTTCAGTTCAAAGTACTTAGCCTGTCATAGTGTGTGCTATCATTTTCTTATCCCCAACACACTTTTCTAAGAAACAAATTCTCACTGCAGCTCAAACTTGAGAGGTTTCTTTTAGCTTTTTATGACTGCTACTGAATGAATGGTTGCTTCTTCTAAATAAATTAAATTACATAGATGGGTGTTTTTATGTCTTCTACCCCTTTCCTAGAACTGGTACAACTCTTAACTGTGCCAGTCCCCAGTTCACCAACTTTGTATCCAGTTGTCATCTCATTCAAATATGGCTTTACTTGGAGACACTGGCTATAGCTAACTTACTTGGCATTTTTGACTTTTGACAATAATAAAAATGGTTTTGGATTTTATTTCCAAAAAATGTATATAATGTCAGAACTTCACATTTTATATACTAGTATCTGGCTATTAGTATTTTACAGGAACCATAGTTCTTGGTGACTACACACACACACACGCGCGCACGCGTATGTATGACTTTTTTGTAAACTGTCATTTCAATGTTACAATCATTTTAGTTAATGTAATCAATGTGAATACAATATTTTCTTCAAATTTGTTCTAAGCCTATAGTGTTTGCTTTGTGAACATAAGTGTATTGTATATATTCTGTATAGTTATATTGTACTGAAATATTAGCTTGTTTGATATAAGGAAAATACGTATTATCTTTTTGCTAGCCTGATTTTTAAAAAAGGTTTAAACTTGTTTTTTTTTTTTTTTAAATATTTAAACTGGCCTTTATTACATGGTCACAAAGTTGCAGTTAGGAAAGGGATGGGCAGGGGACAACTAGTATTGAGTGTCTTTAAATAGAAATATGAGACTAAAGTTTGGTATTGTTTTCATTTTCTCATTAAAATATCTTATGCTTTATGAAAAAAAGAAAATCATTATTTACTGATATGATTCCTGTTGGAACTTCAGATAGCATTATAGCTGCAATTAAAAATAAATATATTTTTCTCCTTCAAATAAAACTCTTAAAGAGAAAGTAGCAGACTGGTTATTTGATATTTGTGTAAACCCCATACTAGTTTTGTCCAAATACATGATTTCCATTAGGTTACAAAGTCGTTGACCCAACTGACACATATCTAGTAAATGATGTCTCAGGAAATATTTATTCAAGTCATTCAGAAAGGCCTGTGGCAACACAATAGAGTGGACTTCAAACAAAACAGGTTAGAGGTACCCACCACCATGTGCAGACAAAAATCCACATATAACTTTTGACTCCTCCAAAACTTAACTACTAAATAGCCTAGTGTTTTCTGGAAGCCTTACCAATAACACAAATTGTTGATTGACCCATATTTTGTATGTTATGTGTATTACATACTGTGATCTTACAATAAATTAAGCTAGAGAAAAGAAAATGTTATTCAGAAAAATCATAAAAAGTAAAAATATATTTACTATTCATTAAGTGGAAGGAGATTATCATTAAGGTTTTTATCCTCATTGTCTTTACAATTCATTGGCTGAGGGGGAGGGGAAGGAGGGAGAAGAGGAGGGGTTGGTCTTGCTGTTTTGAGGTGGTAGAGGTGGAAGAGGCAAAGGAAGTAGAAGAGGAGGCAGGAGAGGCAACTGCAACTTTCCTAATGTAGATGGCAGGGTGATGGATGCAGCAAACCACTATGGCACATGTATACCTATGTAACAAACCTGTACTTTAAGTTCTGGGGTACATGTGCCAAACATGTTTGGCACATGTACCCCAGAACTTAAAGTACAATTTGAAAAAAAAAAAATCCAGCATAAGTGAACTAATGCAGTTTAAACCCATGTTGTTCAAGGGTCAACTACATTATGTAATTGAGTGAAAAATTATATATGCTGAACCTAATAAAAGATACCAACCTCACAAAGTTCAGAGGGCCCTTATGTCTAACAGAAGAAAATCCGTATCTCACAAAGCAACTTCTTCTCAGTCTGTTAATCACAAAAGAAATTATAACTTCTGCATATTTTTATCCAAATGGATAACGACAAAAAGATGCTACATGCAATTAGGAGACCAATCCCATATCCTATTTCTAATCAAGAAAATACACCTTTTATTTTTCTGAGCTCTCTTCTTAGCTTCAGTAAGTAAGTGCTGTTTTCTCTCAAAAGATAAATGGAGCTGAGAGCTACATATTTCAGCTTATTACATAATGAATCTAATAACACTTTTTCTTGTTCCTATCACATGGTTTTCTGAAAATAGCATTAAGCTATATTTTATCAACATACAAGACTTGCTATATAAAGCTTCAGATATGTTATATAGAGATTTAGATAATCAATTTTATCTACTCTAAACTCTTAAACTGTACTTCAACATTTACTTCTGAATTGCTCAATACCAAACTGAACAAACCTCTTTCTGGTAGAAAAACATGCAATTTAACAGAGAAGCTATCTATTGATCCCAAAGGCACCCTTCATAGTATTTCTTCTCTTTATCAACAGAAAAGTCTACAAGGAATATTCACAGTTTTCTAAGAAAGCCAGAAGGGCTTTAAGCAGCATTAGCTCAACATATTTCTGTCTCCTATAGTTAGCAAAGATGATTAGAGTTTTACACTAGGTGCTGGGAGTTCAGACTCGCAGCAGAGACTCCTAGACAGAAAGTGTCTTTGTCATTTACTTTGTACTCTCACCACACTGTATTGTCACTTTTATTGTAGAACTTACTTCAGAGCGATATAGCTGTTCAATTTGTAATTTTTTTCCAACAGATATACTGAGTATTGTAAAATACCATTGGAGTACTCCAACTGACTAATATTCAATAACTGTTGAAGTAAAATAAATGTAAAAAGGGATATTTCATTTAAAATTCATATTGTTAAATAGCATATTTTCTTTCTTTCTTTCTTTCTTTCTTTCTTTCTTTCTTTCTTTCTTTTTTTTTGAGACAGAGTCTTGCTCTGTCACCAGGCTGGAGTGCAGTTGCACGATCTGGGCTAACCTCCACCTCCAGGGATCAGGAGATTCCCCTGCCCTCAGCCTCCCAAGTAGCTGGGACTACAGGCATGTGCCACCATGCTGGGCTAATTTTTTGTATTTTAGTAGAGATCGGGTTTCATTGTGTTGGCCAGGATGGTCTTGATCTCCTGACCTTGTAATCCACCCACATCGACTCCAAAGCACTGGGATTACAGGCATGAGCCACTGTAATACAGGCCCATTTTCTAATTTCTAAAGATTAAAATCTGACAAGATTCCAATGGCATAAAAATGAGAAAGTTGAATATATCTTGACATTAAAGCATAACTAAAATGTCCAGCACGGTGAATGAAGAGCCCAGGCTCTGGACTCTGACAGACCTGGAGAGGAATAGCATTTGGTCACTTTTTTGCCGTGTGTACAGGCAGATCTGAACTGTGGAACCTGTGTACTTATCACCATCTTTCCTCACAGTATTGCTATAAAGATCATATGACATATATATCAAAAGCCCCATGCAAAGTGGCACTTAATATTAATTTCCTTCAGTTTTCCTCTGCAAAGTATAGAGAACAATTGTGAAGAGCTGCTCAACTGGTTGCAAGTCTTAAGATTTTAGACATTCATGTCCAATAGTAGGAAAATAATTGGTTAGTCATTAGTATCATGACTACTCTGTGCAAGCCCATTATTTTTCTGCCTCCATAGTTGAAACAAACACAAATGGATTTGGCAAAGTTCAAATTTGTATAATCAGTATCAGGATACACTGCTAAATAGTAATATACCAATTTGAATAACCAATTTGAATGTTTCAAAAATGAAGAGCAGGATGGGCTTGGACCTATGCCAAAAATGCCTATTCATAATTATTTTAAAAACAAGAATGGTATTATTCATGGTTTAAGTATTACTTTAACTTCATTTTACAAGTATAAGCCTGTTTGAAAAACAGAACGTTCTCAATACTGCTAATGCTCTAAACTTAAAAAATAAAAGTTCTATTACTAATTTCCATATTTAAAGGGT